GCAACCGGCTCATACTCAGAATTGATCTCCACATGCAATATATTTATAAATATAAATTTGTTTATAATCTCAGAAATGTGATAGCCACGAAATTTATCTACATATCCAAGTAAAACTAAATATTTTTTAAAAATTTAATTTTAACGTTTTATCTTGCTGATGGTAAAACATTACTTTTATTTATTATTTTCAATGGAATACATATTTATTCCGCTGGGACTTCCATGGTACCATCGTTAATTTCGTCAATAACATCATGGGGATGTTTTCCATCAACAGTGCATCCAACACTTTGGGCTGTGCCAAGAACTTCCTTGCAGGTGCCTTTCAGTTCACGAGCCATTGACCTTGGTCGCATAGTACGTGCGATCGCCAAAATGTCATCGAAAGAAATGTTTCCACTGTGCTTAACTGCGATAGAAAATCAAATTATTAGTAGAGTAAAATATTTGGTAAGAATTTTCACAAGAACTTCTATTAGAAAAGTGAATTAAGACTCAAATTTATTTACGACTATCCATCAAAAGATCAACCTAATTTAGATTTGGCAATAATTCGATGATAAATACTTTTTTCATAGCAGACGTAACTGACCGGCTTTTTTAGCTCAGCTATTAATTTAAGCAGTGTCTATCCTTTCGAAAACAATCGTTACTAAATCATTTGTTTCACCTTTTGTCACTAAAATTACAAATACAATTGTTACTCCACTCAAATCACATACATTATTCAACCGGTCTGATAAGACTAACATATTGAATGTTCTAATCAGAATCTATTCCTTTTAAACAAACTTAAGTAATTGGTATTTTTCTCTGCACTTTCGTTCCTCTATGCGTTACACAATTTAATGCAAAAAACTGCCTACTTCAAAACAAAAACATTAAAAACTTACTGTTCTTCTGCTTCTTTCTGTCACGTGGAGGTTCCTTCAATGCCTTGATGATCAATGAGGCTGCGGATGGAACCACTGATATCGTAGCCTGCCTATTTTGAATGGTAAGGCATACCGTGATCTTGAGTCCCTTCCAGTCAGAAGTGGCCTTTGCAATATCGTCACCTACTTTTTTAGGAGACTATAACAAATATTAGCTTAGAAAACACACAAAATATATTGTGTACTCACCAATCCCAGAGGACCGATTTTAGGAGCCAACGATGAGGTAGCACCAACTTCGCCACCAACACAACGAAGGTACACTAGAACAAGAAATTATCATATAAACAATATACTCGTATGAATGATTTAATTAACATTTGTTTGAAGCATAACGTACCCAACTTGACTTCCGTGGGATCAAATTTAGGAGGCATCTTTATGTATGAATGGTTTCAGCTGTTAAGAGTAAAGGATTATTAAAATATTGTCCGATTTTTATTCATCATAATTTTTAACGTACCGTCACCAAAAGCGCCGTAAAGGGAAAGAGTCCGATAGCGCCATAGTGATGGGATACTTAGTTTCCGGTTATATCAACTATCGAATGAGTAATTTAGTAACAAAGGAATAGAACACAAAGTTGAATGTTAGCACTGTTGTTTGGTCAGTGATGTTAGGTTATTATAAAATGTTGCACCTATATTTTAAAAATTCAATTTATATTTTTTTTTAATTTAATGGAACTATTTTTATTATTTCAACCAACACCTGTACATCATATTGATATGATACTAGACGTCTGAAAATAATTTAATACATGATTAATTTTTTACTTCAGGTAATATTTGATTCTCTAAAACGCTCCGCAATAATACAATGTTTCATCTATTGTTGTAAAGCCTGAAAAGAAGACCTTCAACTATTTGATTATGATAATTGTATTATTGTATGTTTATCATATTTTGTCGTTCCTCTAAAGGTGGTACTGTGAAAGGAAATCAAGCCTAATCGATATACATCGAATCTCTCAATTTCGCCCATCGATATATATTGCTTTGAATTGTCATCCCTAATCTAAACCTTCTTTCCGGTGTAGCCGTCTTCAACGGAGGTTAAAATGGTGCGTAAACAAAATCTTCAACAATAAGTGCCATCATATAATAACTTATTATAATTAAGTATTGTTCACTAATTATAAACTATTTCTTTAATAGGCCGCACATAAATCGTTCCGCATCAAGCAAAAGCTTGCTAAAAAACTGAAGCAGAACCGCTCGGTACCACAATGGGTTCGCTTGCGTACTGGAAATACTATTCGGTAAGTTTTGGCCGGCTGTGTACAAGTTCAAATCGATGTAGCCTTTCAATAAATTAGAAGTAGACATTAGAATAATAAATATTTGAGAAAATAAGATAATTGGCGCTACAATATAATCAGTTAATTCTAAATCAGCTGTGTGCAAGTTTCAAGCCTTCCTATTAAGCCCACCTCTGCCAAACAAACATACTTTTGAGTGCAAGGTCAGAATTTATCCACTGAAAACCCCACTCACCCTATCGCTATGAACACAAAATTGGTACCGGCATACAACGTGTTGACATACAAATATATAAGTATGCATATATTCGTTATAAAAAACAATAGTGACTAAAACAAATTCTTCTTAAATCAAGTTTTATTTAGAATATTTGTAGTTGTCAATAGTCATATAAACGCTACTTTCGTTGCTTGAGCACCAACAGCTCATTATTAATTCGGGTTTTGTTTATGTATACAAAAATATACTTTGCCTATCAATATTAACAAAATTTTTCTTTGTATTTTCAGGTACAATGCTAAGCGTCGTCACTGGAGGCGTACTAAGTTGAAGTTGTAAACTTATGCAAATGCCGTTTTTCGCAGTTTTGTAGTTTGTATCAAATAAATTAATTTTTGAAATACAAACTAAATTTAATATATATTTATTTCGGGATATGGATTTCGAAATTATCCTTTAAGAGTGCTGAATTTAAATAAAGTATGCTAAAATCGCATCATTTTAATAATAGGGGTGCATTTGAAAAGTACTGTCGAAAGCTTTGTCACAGGTAATGCTCCTAGTGCTTAAACTGAAGATGCGGTGCAATGGATACTGCAATTATTGGGGGCTAGTTTTGTGAATGCTATGGAAAGCATCAATGGTGGATGCAGAAACTATGTAATGATTGCATGTAAATAAACGATTTAAAATAAATGCCGAATAAAAATTGACACTAAACAGTATTTAATGTATGTAATACTCATTTCTCTGTGATTTACAGCTTATTGTGTACCTGAGAACTGCAGAACTGGAAAGCAAAAAAGGCTTGTGAAGTTGTATATAATATATGTATATTCAAACGTAATTATGCTTAATAACTTTAGAATAATTTTTGTTAAATGATAACAAAAGTCTGGAAAAGACAAAAAATAAACATTTCAATTGCTAAATCATAGTCCTTTCATCGTTTCGATGTACAAATGCATCTATTTTCTTGCTTTCTTTTTGCATTATAATGCAACTCGGGAAATGGAAAACATTTTTTGTTATCGAACTTTGACGCCCATTAGTTCGATATTTACGATAAATAAATAGCATCCGGCATTACTATCAACGGCAAAATCACAGTCATAGAGTGGACGTTTTGCTAGTACAGCTTTATTATTTTACCATTAATTCCTTTCATAGTCCATTCATTCATGATTTATAAAAGCAATATAATAAAGAGTAAATTCAAATGTGTATCTTACAAAAAAGTAACTTTAGCAACAGAGTAACTGAATATTTGAAAAAGTACTAAGAAGTGACACGTCTCAAATTTATCAAATATTGCACATCTCTAGTCTGAGTATTGTTCGTTTTCTCCGAATGCCAATGGCCGAAGTTAATAATATTCACGAAAAATATGCTTTCAAGTCAAGAATATAATAAATGATAAAAAAAGATTGTTAATGCATGTAAAATTAAAACATTTAGTGTATGTTTGATCAACGCATTACATTTCGCACAATGTCGAACCACATGAATCATACATCTTTGTGAACGTTTTATAATATAATTTTAATTTTGGAACATAAATCGGTGTATATCATAAACAAGTGCATTAAACATGCGGGAATTTAAAGTGGTTGTGCTTGGTTCCGGTGGCGTTGGTAAATCGGCCCTAACTGTTCAATTTGTTTCGGGGTGTTTTATTGAAAAGTATGATCCCACCATCGAGGACTTTTATAGAAAGGAAATAGAGGTTTGTCATACATATGTATTTTTTGTCAGCACAATTTATATGCTCTTGTATGTACAAATGTCTATATAGGTACTTGTGCATGAGCATATGTAAAAATACACATCTATGCTATATGTATGTATGTATATATGCATATTGATATATATACATATATGTACATATCAATATTTATGTATATGTACACACAGACGTATGTATGTATGTGCATGCGTGCATATGTGTGTATGTATGTATAAATATATATGTACATGAGCAAATAAAAATACTTATAAATTGAATTAATATGAACTGTTCTATGTATTATTGTAAAATTATTGGTCTTTACCATTAATTATAGTGTAATTCATTGTTCCGCTAAGTAAATTATGTATTTACCGTTTGTCTGTAGCTTCCATGGTTTTATGACTCATTAATAGTAAAGACATAAAGAACGATAAAATAATTTTTCTAAGTTCAACTGTATATAAACAGTCTGTAGAGTAAACGAGTTCAGTAATTTTAAAAGCCGTTCGCATAAACAATAGAATGGGTAGTTTTATTGTTTAAACGGATGTTTCATTAATTTGACAATGACTGTAATAGGAAGAAGGAAGCTATTGTACTTGTAGAGTAAACGCTTCTAAATTGATTTCAATAATTATAATTAATTGTAAATTCAAAATTAGATTATGCTTAAATCGTAGATTCTGTTCAACGAATTACTTAGATATATACACAAACTATATTTTTGTAAAACCAGTACTAGTTTAAAAAAGTATAATATTTATGGAACAGGCGGCATGCGAATTGGTAGAGAATATTAAATATTGAATATATATTGTACATAAAATATTATTTGTATCTATAATATATTATGTGTTTATTAATTGACACATTTCAATGGTAGCTCTGCGCAGGGTATCTCCTAGTCGCAACACTTTCGACTGGGTGATTTTGATTTTGTTGGTTTTAGTGAATTACATTTATGCATGTGATATCAACATATGTGTTTATTTATGTCTATACATCTAACCATTAGTTTGTCCTGACTCACTGATTACTTAATCACGTTTAAGTACTTTTTTCTTTTAAACAAACTTAAAATTGATGGAAAATGTTGATATGAAAGTCATTTAATTGAATCTGTTTGTTATAATGCTGTTTTGCCAGCCAACACAGTTGTCTAGAAAGCTCAATGGACTTTGGCTTTGTTCGGAGTTTATTAACCCTGAATCACCGAAGTTTAGAAGGACACGTTGCTATATATATATTTTTATATATGTAGCATTATTTTTAAGGTTTATCAACTGAGCTGAAATATGTAACAAATAGGCTTAAAATTTATTTTAATACCAGCTTATCATTTTTTTTTTTCGCTGTTATCTTATCCCACTATCTTAACATATTGAAGAGTATTATAGCTAAAGGCACCAAATTTAAAATGAGTACACAGATTATGCATATTTGTTTTGTTGGATAACGTCTAAAAGTGAGATGAAATTTAATGACGAACTTTGCATAATGTGACGGAAGTAAAAGCAAATGCGGGATTAAGGATTTACGTTCTTACGAGTGTGCGGGGGCTTTTATTTGTGTCAAGTAGTCTGGGACACAGAGTTCAGAGTATCAGCTAGTCGGATGCGCCAGAGAAGTTATATAATAATATTTCTGGATATATTTTTGTTCAGTTAGTTTGAGGTCATCTATTAGTTGATTATTTCTAATCAGCAATGACAAGGTTTGAATACATATAAAATAAGCCGCTTATCTGAATTTATTGAAAACACTCTCAGCTCTATTATCTGCAAACTCTGGATTCGTCATTTGCCTTGAGACGCATCCTATCAAAGTAACAGAAGTGATAGACCTCCCTCAATATTGATCAAATATTCTTTAGGCTATGAGTCTATAAACAAACATTTAGGCTTATCAATCAGAATTCATTGCTGATATAACAGAATATGAAAGACCAACGCTAATTTTGTATTTTTATTTACAGGTTGACAATTCTCCGTGTGTTTTGGAAATATTGGATACAGCCGGAACTGAACAATTTGCTTCTATGAGAGATCTCTACATAAAAAACGGACATGGCTTTATTGTGATGTATTCGCTGACAAACCATCAAACATTTCAGGTAAGTGAAAATACGAAATTTTTAGACATTTTCTTAGACAAGTATAAAACTTTCAATGTCCAAAAATCTAAAATCTAAATCTTTTCTTTAACAGGATATTTCAAGTATGAAAAATGTGATTACTCGAGTTAAAGGAAGCCAACCAGCACCGATATTACTTGTAGCAAATAAATTTGATTTGGATTGTCAAAGAGAAGTATCAACCGCTGAAGGTAAATATAATTTTAATATAAACTGGGAAAACTTAATTTTAGTACAAATGGCTGATTTGATAAGTCGTAGAACGAGGTGTTCAGAAATATAGAGTAGAATAGATGATAAATCGGTGTATGACTTGAACTAATAACGAATATTTTTCAGGTAATGCCCTGGCCCACCTCTGGGAATGTCCTTTTATCGAAGCATCAGCAAAGGATCGAATAAATGTCAATGAAGTGTTCGCAACTATTGTTCGAGAGATGAATTTAACGCAAGAGAAACGACAAAAAAAGAAATACTGTTGTTGTACGCTTTTATAGAAATTTGTAAATATGTAAGATTAATATAGTTAAAAATAAAATCACAAATATGTATGTAAAAAATATACTGACCAAGTAATAAGTTTAATGTCCGAGATATTTCAAAAAGGAACAACACCATGAAAAAATAAATAATAAAATCTGAGACAACGATGGTTGCCTTTAATTTGTCATTGTTTTTGTATTGGGATGTGATTGTTGTTTGATTGTTTTTCTTATATACCAACCTAACAGAGTAATTTAATTGGAAATATCAGATGTGCTTTTTTTT